CTTTTTATTATACTTCATATCAATGGAAAATGTCTCAATCTGTGCCTGCCCCTGCACAGAAAAAGCCCCTACAATAAAAACAAAAACAAAAAAAAAGTTAAATTAATATTTCATTACTGTAGTGGTGGTTGCTGAGAACTGTCAGAGAGCATTCCTTACAAAAACTGATGATTATTTTCCTTCATGGTAATATATAATACAAATGGCTGTCTTTCAGGTGTGTGTGAAAGGGCCAAATGTATTCCTTGGCTATTTGAAAGATCCTGAAAAAACAGCAGAAGCTCTGGACAAAGATGGTTGGCTTCATACAGGAGATATTGGGAAATGGCTGCCAGTAAGTCAATGTATATAGCTGTAAGGTATTTCTGTGGCTATTAGCAATAACTTAACAATTTTAAAATATATATGTATTAATACAGTGAATTAAAAAACAAATACATAACCTTATAAGGAGAATTGTTACGTATGAAACAAATCTGTATATCTGGGGCTAAATATAATAAAAATAATGTGAACCTGAGACTGTTTCTAGTTCAGGTTAGATGGGTGCAGAGCTTCTTTTAACCTTAGTTTGACAGTGCTCTCCTGTGGTGTCTGATAATAGCTTCTGTCAATAAACTGTCTTGAATCAGGCACAGCATTTAAGGTCATGTTAAGACAAAGCCTCAGTAGTATTGTTTCTGATCCTTTCTTGAAAGCTTAATAAAAGGCACTTATTTCTGAAATAGAAATAAGTAGAGGCAAACTCTTGTTCATATACTTGAATTCTGGCATTATGTGATCTGCTGTGATGCATTGTGTAGACTGGTTATCACTTGAAGTGCCTTTTCTGAGTGGAAATTGTTTTTGTCAACAGAATGGTACATTGAAGATCATTGACCGGAAAAAACACATATTTAAACTAGCCCAGGGAGAGTACATAGCTCCAGAGAAGATAGAAAATGTGTATCTGAGAAGTGAAGCACTTGCTCAAGTGTTTGTCTATGGAGAGAGTTTGCAGGTAGGCATTCTTCTGGTAATTTTAAAAAAAGAAGTTAAATGCAAGAGAGAGATGGTAGAAAAGGGTTTTCCTTTCTTTTTTCCTTTCTTCCTTCCTCCCTACCCCGACTTTGAGATTAGTCTTTACACTTCCAGTAGGATCACAGAATGGTTTGAGTTGGAAGGAACCTTTCAAGATGATGTAGGCCACCTTTCTCTTTGCTATGGTCAGGGACATCTTCTACTAGACCAGACTGCCCAAAGCCCCATCCAACCTCACTTTGAACACTTCTAGTGTTTGGGCATCCACAGCTTCTCTGGGCAGCCTGTCCTAGTGTCTCTGTTTAGTGTTGCACACTTCAGCTCTCAATTCACTTTGGATTCCACCCGTTACAGAATATGCTTCTGGATCTAGTTTCAGACCAGGTAGTAGAAATGGATTAATTTAACTGATTACTAAGCACTATATATAACCTGCCAACAGTGTATGTGGAAACTTCTAAGAAAAAAGTTTCATTGTTAAAACTGCCACCCAAAACCAGGCAGAAAACCAGTAAGAAGCATTTAGGAACCAGTGTCGCTTTGTTTGAAATGAATAAATAAAACAGGAAAAAAAAAAAAGGCACTTAAATTTCTTTATAGGCCTTCTTAATAGCTGTTGTGGTACCTGATCCTGAGACTTTGTGCAAGTGGGCCAAGAAAAAAGGAATTGAAGGCTCATATGAAAAGTTATGCAAAAACAAGGTGAGTAAATAAGTAAACAGCTAGCTATTCAGCATCAACTTTTTTTGAGCTGTACAATGTATTCTTGTATCCACAGGATGTCAAAAAGCACATCCTAGAAGACATGGTGAGAGTTGGCAAAGAATCTGGTTTGAAGTCATTCGAACAGGTAAGATGCTGATTAGACTTGAGCATCTAATTCTTTAAACAATCTGTAACAATATAGTCAGACTAAGAACTGGCTTTAATTTGCATTTGGAAATATTTTAAAGTAATACGCTTTTTTATGGTGACTCTATTAAAGGTCTTGTGTGTTCCAAAGAATGTAGCTTGGTTACTAGCTGTTTGTTTTCCAGGTTAAAGACATTATCATGCACACAGAAATGTTTTCTATTGAAAATGGCCTGCTGACACCAACACTGAAGGCAAAGAGACCAGAACTACGGAAATATTTCCAGTCACAGATAGATGAACTCTATGCTAATACCAAAATGTAACGGTGGATTGAGTAAAGTGGCACACATCTGATGTCTACTATTGGTCGTCATATCTGTAATTTGACTACAGTGATTATAGGGAAGGAAACTGTGCAATCATAAACTTGTACAAAAATGGGATGGGTACTTGCCATAGGAACATTGAAGAAATGGAACACTGCCTTACTGTCAAGTTGTGTTGCATACTGTTTTTATGGTGACCTACAATTTCCAAAAAGAGCCTTAACTATAAATGGTAACTATATATAAGTTATTTAAGACTTCATTGGCCAAAAATGGGACTCTCCTTAAACAAGGAGCGAAGATTTTCTTATTGCCAGCATGTTTGCTGTCTGCAGTGTACCTTGCAGTTCTCAGTTCAAAAAAGAATTTGGCAGGTTTGAAAATGCCTCTACGTATATTGCTGCCTCAGGAGGATTACTTAGTCTGTTGGGGGGAGGGGAGAGAGAACCCGCCAATATACAACCTTACAGTTATATAGCTGATATTGCATCTTAATTGGTCCTAATGTTAACTGGGGTGAGGCAAGGGTTTCTTCCCTTCTATATCTACAGCCAGTTCTGAGGCTTACTTCTGTAAGGTAGAAGTCAGGACTCCGTACTAAGGAGACTGATTAATACAGGTTCAGGCTAAGCTTGCATTTGGTGACTCTGCACTAGTCGTGTAGATACAGTTAATTCAGCAAGTGCAGCCTTTGCTGCATTAACACAATTTCAGAGTACTGCCTGTCCAGTTAGTGGGCAGATTCTAACTCTGGCAAGAACACTAGAGATCTAGAAATAAAAGTGATCTAAGAGGCTGGGCTATGCTGACAGTCAGGTAAGTATTCCACCTGTACTAGTCACTTGTTTCCCCATGAATGAATGTGGATTTAAAATGTGTTTTGAAAAAGTGCCAGGTCCTCTAAGCAGAACAGCTTCTGACATAACCTCCATTTTCTGTGCTTTGTGTATGAGCCACTGAGTATTCTTCATGGAATAGCAAAATAGGTCAGGTAGAATGTTTTTTGCCTGATGCTTTGCAGTAATTGGAAGTATTCAGATGTGCCAATGAACAGTGTTGGCACTGAATGGGTATTTGTTCAGGGATAAGAAACAAATTCCCAGATAAACTACAGAACTATTTACCCTTTGTTTCAGAAATCAGCAGAAATAAGCCTTATGACAACATAAGTCTTTTGCTACCCTTAACAGAGTTGGTTTTGCATTAGAACTCATTACTGTTTTTTGAAAACATGGATATATGTAAGATACAAGCACAACAAGGTTTGCACTAAGATTTGTGTGATTGTAATGCACTACTCTGTAGCATAATTTCATACCTGTGTGCAGTTAAGGTACACGAATCCAAGTCAACTGTTAGAGCAGTAGTTTGTTACATTGGAATTCAAATGTTTGCTTAGTGTTGGCTATTTCTATGTTTTATAAAACCAAAATAATTTTCAAAACCAATGAAGGAAACCAAAATAAATACTTCTGCATTTCAACTCAGTGAAGTGTTTCTTTAATCAAGTGGATATGCTGCTGACGGACAAGCTGAGGGACAATCAGAAGAAATTCTGATGAGCTGTAAAACTTTGTTACTACAACTGTACTTAACATAGTACAAGATAAATGCTGTCTGTAGATGCTTTGTTTGGAAGGTGAATCTGCTTAAATCTGCTTTGATCTGTTATTTATGTGCAAGTTCTTGACCAATGTCCGTAAGAAAGATATCATTTTGCAACTTGCCCCATCAGTATTCCTTAAATATTTTTTTTTTTTTTTTTTTGCCATCAGTATAGTCTTTGACACATGATGCACTTAGCACTGTAATTTAAGTGAAATCTGTAGCTTTACCAACCTTAAACTACTTTTGGGTGGTTGGTATCGTTGTTCCCTTGTGTGTATTTATCTCCACTTTCACTGTGCATATACTGTGTATCTAGCTTTAATCTGGGGAGCAATTGGAAAGAGTTAATGGGCAAATCATGCAAACCATGGTAGGTGAAGTGTCACCAAGATTATGTTTATAGCTGTTCCTATGCTACTGTCCATAACCATCTGTATGTTCTTTATGAATTCTTCCCCCACTGAAGGAACTCTAAAGTTCCTTTTTGCAACAAATTCTGTACTGTGTTCAAATATGTGCCTGTTGCTTGGACAGACAGTGTAGTTTTACCATATTTCATGACGAAAATAGCTTAAGGAGCTGAGTCTATGGTTTATTTTTCTCACCCTGTAAGAAAGAGCTTTCTGTGGGAGCCAAGCAGCACTATCGTCTGTACTATTGCTTGTTGCCTAAGGCTTATGGTCTACCAAATGGAGCTTTGTTGCTATACCCAGGGAATTCTGAGTATAGAGATTTCCTATTAATACTAATGTGATACTATGAGTTCTGGCTGAAAGTGTATGGCTGCAGGAGAGCATCAGCGGGGCTGTGTGCCACTGCAGGGAGCTGATTTGTGCGGATTGAAGGCAGCCAGTAACTGGGGGTGCTGGGGGGGGGGGGAGGGGGGGTTGTTAATAAAGAGGGATTCTTCCCGAAAATGTTAACAGCAGAAACAGGACGAGAGAGAACATTGCCGGAGGACTGTGACTGGGTAACGATGAGCTTCCAGCCAGCACCGAACAACACGGGATTTGCCGCTCCGGTTGGATGGCATTTGTGACGACGCGTTGAAAGGACAGCTCTAAATTACCGCGGAAACGGGGGCAACGGGCGGCACTGAGGGCGGGCAGGGCTCCCTTCCCGCCAATCCCCTCGCTGCAACTTCCCGCGGCGGGGAGGGACGCCTCAGCCGCTCGCGCTTCCGCTTCCGGCGGTGCTCGCGGCTGCTTTGAATCGCGGCGGCGCGGCCGTTGGGCGCTGTGAGGTGAAGCGAGGCCTCTGGCTGCTCGTTTGAAGACGAGGAAAGCGCATCTGTATTCAGGGCTGTTCTTCGGTAGCTCTGTATTCGACTGTATGTTTAGCGGTTTAGTAAGATGTCTTCTAAGAAAAGAACGAAGAGAAATCGTACTGAAGATGAATTCAAGGTAAAATTCTCCACTCTGAACTTAATCCTGTGTTGCTTTACTGTACGCTTGTGTCTTTGATTCCTGCTGAGCAGTGCTTCCTGTCAGTTCCTCTCCTTATGCACAAACGTCTGAGAAAATTTCACCCCGTGTTTGTGGGTGAACGGAACGGTTACAGACACCTAATGAGCAGATGCCCTTCCCTTTCTGTTTGAGTTGTTCTGTGGAATACTTAACTTACGAACTAATTCTAACCTCTATACGAAGCTGCACTAGAACTCTTCATTTTTAGATTAAAAAGCAGTCAGTTGGACAAACCAGGAATGTTGTGTGAATATAGAGACGAAAGGAGATGCTTTAATGCCTGAAAAGGAAAAGGCTACAGGTCATAGAAAGTTAGTATCAGACAGCTCTAAGATTACTAGGTGCGTGTGCTTGGCTTTATAAAATAAGATAAACTATGTGCTACATACAAGTCATAGTAACGTGCCATAGAATGGCATCGTTTGGAGGGGACCTTAAAGCCCTCCTAACCCCTGGCATGGGCTGGGTGCCCCCCACCAGCTCAGGCTGCCCAGGGCTCATCCAACTGCGAGCATCTCCAGGTACGGGACATCCACAGCTCTGGGTAGCAGTGCCAGTGCCTCACCGCCCTCTGAGTAAAGAATTTCTGCCTAACGTCTAACCTAACTCAGCAGTATACACTGATGTTATACCATTGCTTCCCCTAGGGAATAAGCATAATAAAAGGGGAAAAAAGTATGCTCCGAATGTTTTATTTTGTAGGCTAGTAGTCAAAGCAGTCCATGTTAAATTAATTTCTAATAAAAAAATCTTGAAATTCTTTGTCTTATTTAGTCTGTCGTACATTCAGTCAGTGGGATGACAGCTGTTAATTTTGTGCCCTACCAGGAGCACAAAGGCAGTTCTCATCCTCGCCGGAAATTTCTTCTTCCTGAGGATCCTGATGTCTCAAGAATATCAAAGGTTGCAGGTGTAAACCAACTTGAGGAGCTTTGTGATTCATTTGGTTAGTATGAACTTGAATGTCTGATTTTCATCAGCTAAATATCTCAATGTTTACATAAGAAACAGCGCTGCTTTGTCTGGGGGAGGAGGGGAGGAGGGAAGAATTCAGAGAAAGTAGTCAGATTAATATATTTAAGACTGATACAAGCTATAGCAAAGAAAGACTTTAAATAAAACTCTAAACCTTTGTCTATTCTGTACTGCGTGTACATATGTATTTGCTGAGCTTTCATGCACCTTCACTTTCAGTTTGTAGAGAAATAAAGTTCTAGCAACATTTAGGTTGGAAAAGACCTTCAAGATCATTAAGTCTTAGTCCACTGCTAAGCCCCGTCCCTGGGTACCACATCTGCTTGTCTTGTAAATCCCTCTAGATAGCAACCAGAGGGGATAGCAACTCCACCTGCTCCCTGAGCAGCCCCTTCCAGTGCCTGACCACTCCTTCCGTGAAGAAACCATTCCTGACTTCCAATATGAAGCTGCCCCGTGCAACTTGAGGCCATTGCCTCACATCCTGTGACTTGTCTCCTGAGAAAAAGATACCAACGCTGTCTTTCTGCAGAGCAATGAGGTCCTCTCAGCCTCCTTTCCTCCAGACTAAGCAGCACCGGTTCCTTCAGCCACTCCTTGTAGGCCTTGTTTTCCAGGCCCTACCAACAGCAGATATGAGTATAGACACTGAAACTTTTGATTACACATACCTTTCATAACCTCCAAATGTGCTTTTAACAAGTATAGCTAGAGTGAGCAAACATCAGAAATTCTAAATGCTGAATGATAGACAGTGCTAATGTACCTGTATTTGTCTCAACAGGTAGGAACAATTTTATACAGCTTGTTTTCTGTTCTTTGCAGATCAGCCTTTGCACAGTACTGCTTTAGATGCTTATGGAGAGGAGCAGTCAGAAAATGAATCATCTAGTCGTGTTCCAGCTCCACAAAGGACAAATGTGGAAAGAAGGTCTGGTGGAAAAATTAATTGCCAGCATTTAATTTTTCTTTTTTTAGATTAAATGGAGAAAACTTTCTATTTGTCTGGTTTCTCTAACTGCTTGTTAGACATACTTAAAATCTCCCAGATGGGAAGAAAAAAAAAGAGTAAGAAAAGCAAGGAAGGTAAATAAATAAATTAGCCTGCCTTTTACTGGCAGTATGTTGACTTAAATAGTTACTGGATTATTTTTTTTAGAGAAAAGAATGCCTTTGTGAGGTAACTTGTCCATTAAATCTTGGTGTCAAAGTTTGAGAAGCGGTGAAATGGTAACAACAGGTTAACAAGTAAAAATCTGTTAAACTGTATGCAACAAGAAAAATAACTTAGAGCACCTTTTAATATGAGTTTTAGTACTGTTCTTGTCTGTTAATGCTGGTTTGGTGCCAGCCTTAGTTCAGTGAAGGTGTGATTTGAAGGAATTACCCAGACAGTACTTGTGAGGGTACGCATTGCTCTTTTATTTCCCCCTCAGCCCTCCAGTCCCGAAAGGACTTCTTCATTCCTTCTAAAACATACTAAGTAATAGCTTTCTCACTGGTTCAAAGTTTCTCCTGAAAACACGATGGCTATTCCTGTGGTTGATTAGAAATGATTTCAAAACTTTTGTGAGCTTTTCTGTAGAGGGATCAGGATTCTGCCCCCTGTATATGCCATTGGAACCTTTTAGTGTTATTTATTTAAAGCAGTCAAACTGCACACAGCAGTACAAAATGTTCCCCAAAGATTTTGTTGATTGTATCTGGAAAATAACTACTCTTCCTCGGTGTGTGGTTGGTTTACATGTGGGTATTTTTCTTTTATTCTAGTGAAAAGATGCACTTGAAGATGCCTGAGGGCGGCTTTCACAAGTTCAACCAGAGTGGTTCTGTACATGAGTCCCGTAAGGAGAATCTGGTAGGGAGAAAGATGTGCAAGCATATTGGTCAGTTTGAGTTTAGCTTTGTGCCATGCCTGCACTGTATAATGGCAGGGAAGGAAGACCTTTCCTTTGCTTTTTTTAATACTTAGTTGTGTACCAAATAAGCAAATCTACTCATTCCTGTGGGATGGCCAAGTGTTAGGTGAACTTCTTAAACCTGCACTGCTCACGTCAGTGGGGGATGTAAAAGCCAGGGTCCTGTAGTCCATTTTATTGCTCATTTGGGAATATGTGACTTTCACTTTTTGAATTTTTCGAGGAGTTTAATTATATCTAGAATATATTTTTTCAAGTGCCGTGCTACATAATGTATAAATTACTTATTCTTGTTTGGTACTGAAGAGCACACGTGGGAGAATTGAATTTTTTGCTGATAAAATGAATTTTGAAAACGTGTTAGAATTAGATTAAAGCCAATTGATTTTGAATGAATGTTTTTCCATGCTCAGACCTGAATTGGTGCAAAATACTTTTGGCCAGCTTAGCTTCTGGGGGCTATGGAAGGTACCCACCTTCCCACAGACTTGAGAAAGTAGACCTATGGTAGAAGAAGCTGTGGAGTGGTTTGTGTACAAGCTTTTCACGTACTGAAATTAATTGGGATTATTGAGATATGTGTTGTAAAATTCAGGACCTAAGTTAAACTTTCATCAGTAAGCTGCACATATGAAGAACTGCTGTAGGATTGCTGTTGTGTGACAGAAAAGCATTCAGAATCAGAAAATAATTGGGACAGATGTAGGTGAAAAGGTGAGAAGGAGCTGTTGATCAGAGAACTGGTGCCTGTTGGTTGGCACAGGTTGGTGCCTGTGCTGAACTGAGGGGCTTTAAGCTGTGTGCAGCATTCTTCCTGCCAGTACCTGTTGTGTACCTGCTTTGTGCAGCCAGGTAGCTGCATAGTCACTGTGCTGTGAGTCTGGTGAAACAGACCTAAGTAAATGGTACCAACATTTCTGTCATGAGGTGCTGAAATACTTCCCTGCATTCTGCTTAATTACTATCTTTCAGAATTTCAAACGAGCACACCTAGGTTCTTAATCTATTTCTGTATATTGCAGAACGCTCCAAGTGCTACTCGATCTGAGGTGAAAAAGAAGGGACCTTCAAAGAAGAGCACACCAGGTTCTTCTGGTAAAGCAGACCTTTCAAAACTTTTGTATAGCTTTTCCTCATTCAAGATCAATACTTCTCCCTAACTCAATGGTTTTGATTTCTGGTATGTAGCAGCATGCTCGCTTTTCTGGGAGGTTCCAGTTTTAATCTGGGTCTGAACACTCTTTAGCAATGGATAAGTTGAGGAGCTGGTGTGCCACACAATTCTGATTTCTGTGGTTTGCATCTCTGGACTTGTCTATTCCTAACTGGAGGGATAGAGCAGAGGTGGTTTGCTTTACTCTTTGCTTGTACTTGGTTTCCTTTAGAGAGAAACTTGGGTCCCTGGGTATGGAGCTGTAATGTGCCCCAGTGGATCTCTTGGTCTTGGTGCCTGGAGCACACAGGGTTCCCCAGATTTATATCAAGGATATAATGTAAAGACCCATGAGACAGGGAGCTTCAAGACTGTGGTATTTTTTGGTAGGGAGAAACTTTCCCAGGGGCATCTTGTACTTGAATGTAATGGATTATAGTTCCAAGGAAGCTAGGTTTACATTTAGATGTGCATGAAGAAACTTAAATTTTTTTTATAGAAGTCATCAATATTGTTATTTCAAAGTTTAAAGGAAGATATTGTTATACCTTCCGTGTTTCAGAAGTAGCTATCAGTAGAAAATTGATACAAATATGATATAGCAATTCGTGACTCTTTGAGTAATGCAGGCTCTCCAAACTCAGGCTGATAGTTCTTTGCAGCCAGCAGTGTTTTTGGCACTGTGTAGTTTATCAGTTGGTGCAATTAATGGACTTTCTTGAAGTGATGAAGAATAAGTAATAAGATCATATGATTGATCATTCAAATCTTTGTGTTCTCTGATGATTTTATGGTTTCCCAAAATTATCATAATTGCTCAGCCTAAAACATGGAATTAATTAATATTTTCCTTATAAAATTTTTATATTTAAATGTTCTTAATTCTTAATGCTGGGTACAATAACTTCTTTTATTTCAGAGCGTGTACCTGAATTGTATAATGCTTGTCTTTATTGTGCTGTTTCAGTTAGCAGCCCATCTTCTGTACCTCTTTGGTGTCCCAATGAGCTGAAAAGATCATCCAGAGATATCACAGAACTGGATGTTGTTCTGGCTGAATTTGAAAAGATAGCAGCAAACTATAGGTAAACATTCTGCTTTCATTTGACTGAATGCTCAGAGGAGTATAAATAAATAATGTGCTTTTCTGCTAGTGGACTGACCCTAAAGTAATGCAGCATTAGTTACATTCTGGTATTGTTTTAATGATTGGTAGGTTTCTCTGACGCTTTTTTGCATGTGATCCTGGGAATTTGGAGTTTTTCCAAATATAAGAACAGCACATCTGAGTAGATGTTCTCCAGTGTAGAAATTAAGTTATTGCTAGCACGTGAATGATTTGCAGCTGCTTGTGCTACTAGCTGTTTAACATTGGGTTGTACTTGTATTCACAAGAATATATCTGGATTTCTCCTTCACTAAAACAAATGAGTTGTGTTTTATCCCTCTGACTTCTCCAGACAAAGCATAGAATCCAAGGCGTGCAGAAAAGCTATCAGTGCCTTCTGTTCAGCTTTTGAGGACCAAGTCACTGATCTTGTAAGTACACAGTAAGGAAGAAAGTGGTTATGGTTATAGAGCTGTGTGCTACACTGCAATATGTATTTTCATTGTAGTGAAAATGCTGATGGCTTTACGTTGTCCCTTAAAAGCTTACTTCTTGATACTTTACATTTTCTCTCTCTCATCAGGTTGAATTAAATGAAAGCATGGGTACTTGTATGTTATGACTTGTTGCCTCTGTGCTGACCTTGATAAGAATTGCGTTTAGACAATATTGCTGTCATGGAAACACCTTGCAAAACTGCCAGTTTTTGAGAATAGGGAAGCATCTAATAATCTTGAAGTTAGTGCCATAGTTAAAACATTGTGCAGTAAAACTGGAGAGCTGTACAATTTGACTGAGGAAATTTGACAGTTATGGAAAATGCTTTAAAAGCCCACAGGCCCTGTTGTAGTTACTCCTGTGTGTAACAGCCTGGCTAAAGCCTTTAACAACTTAATGAAAACCGTTGTTTTTGAGTGTAGTGTGAATATATCTATCAAAAAAATCCCACCAAACTACTAGCTTGGAAGACTAATAATTAATCTCACTAATTACAGCTAGTAAAATGAAGTCAGACTTTGTTGTGATGAATAAAATGTATGAGTACTACAATCATAGTCCTAAGTGATTCACTGGAAGAAGCAGGTTTAAAATGACTAGATTAATACATTTCCTGTAAAGTAATAGAAAAAATAGCATAGGCAGTGTTACACAGTGGAGTAATGCTAATTGGTGCAAGGTGATTAATGGTGTGCAACAGTCTTCCTCTGGCATGGGGGAAGAGTTGATAAACAACTGAGATACCTGTCATATTCTTTTGGAACAGTGTTTTAGTGAATAGTTTCTTGGTGTGATTGCAAAGTAATTCTTACAACAATGTTTTTAGGAGTATAGAGATGAAATCCAGATTCGTCACTAATGTTCTCTTCTTCCACAGATAATAGAAGTCCAGGAACTAAAGAATATAAAGAAAAAAAATGCTAAGGTAATTACATGTCTGAAATACATGCTATCACTGAAATTACAGCATGCAGAGGTGATGTTGAAAAATCAGACAGTAGGGTGGAAGAAATACTTGACAAAAAAAATGTACTGTACTACAGAAACGAGCACAAATGCAGCATGAAGAACCCTAGAACATTTGGAGGAAGGGACTGAAGTAGCATGGTAGAATGCAAACTGCATGCATGTACTGTTGGACTGCAGACATACATTAGGACATGCATGGTTTTCATGCATGTGAACTACTCCGTGTTTCTTAAATGCTCACTTATTTTCAGCAAGCACTGGTGAACCCTCTGGAAAACCAATGAAATATCACCTTCCAGAAACATAAATTAATGTAAAATTCAGAAGAAAGCAGCAAAAACCTATGGGAATAGCACTGGATTGTTTACATAACAGAAGTCGAAGGGAGATACGTTCTCTTAGTGCATGCAAGATTTTTGTTCAGAGAAGGCAGTTCCTCTGTTTGCATTTGAAATGCAAAACAAGAAATACAGCCAGGTGGAGAAACCAGCGTAGGAGCAGAGAACTGTGGAGTGGTTTCATCAGGATAGAGATGAATGCCCCCACAGCAGGGAGACTTAAGAGCAAGTTAGGCACTATCTTCTAATGATATATTATAGCTACAGTTGGTCTCTCACATGAGAAGTGTCTGTAGAACTTTCTGCCTTTGGACCTTGTAATTCTAAGTGTGAAAGGGCAGTTGGACCAAACAGAAGATTGAAATTTGTTCTCTTTCCTGAATATCTCTTTCTATTTAATGATTAAGCAACTTAGCCTACTTAACAGCTGCAAGCAGTGTGCACCGATTAACCTCTTCAGCAAACTTTTTGATGGCTAAATAGCTTTTAACAAGAAGAGATTATATTCTGACAGGTAGCAATTAATGTGTTAAGGATGAAAAGCAATTTGAGCTCATACAGTAAACTACTCTGTAAAAACAAAAATTTTAGTATGCATCCAGCATTCACAGTTGTTTTGTTTCCTTATTTTGAGCTTTATACATTTGTTTCAACTCAAGCTTGCAGCTCAAAAATGTAAGTTTTTAGAGAATTTTAAAAAGCATCTATTAAAGAAAGCTTTGTTATGCTTAATTTCATAGTTCCAGCAGCCATACTGAATGACATGCACTAGAGTCTCAAAGAAAAAAAAGCCTTCAGTGTTTGAGTTGTTTGCCTGTGAAGTCTCAAACAAGTTCAAAGTGTTTCCTCATTTGTTACAGGTGGTGGCAGACATCAACAAGAAAAGGCAGCAACTGATGCAAGTCAGAGAAAAGCTAAGTAGGTGCGTTCCTGATAACGCACAATAGCAGCCTGAAAAGCTGGAGGAGGCTACTTTGTGGTTTGTTTTTTTAATCTGAAGTAAAAGCAACTTTTACGTTTTATTTTGGTGAAACTCTAATTCTGTTCTGTACTGCTTTGTGTTTTTACGGAAGCTTTGGGTAACCCTTCCCTGTTTCAGACTGCTAGATAGAGTAATTCTTGCAGTGTTCTCTCTTATGTTACTGTAGTTGCAGGGGTGGTACTTCAGATAGTATGTTTCTAAGAAAACCCTGTTACAATTGGAATAGTAAGTCATGAAGCGAAGACAGTGCAGAATTTGTTTTGATAGTACGAGAATTTGATGTCTCTAGCCCCTCTCGTGGGTTGAAAGCCGTCTTCACATTTCTTATTTGTTGTGTTTTAATCATTTGATCATTTTAAGAAAGCCTTTCTGAGGCAATACTGAAATGAAAATGGCTGTTGGGTGTTCTGTTGCTGGAGTGCTGATCATGCTTCAAACATCATGTAATAGATTGAGTCCTTCAGCTTTCTTAGGCAGAGGAGTATCTCGTTTATAGCTCCTGAGTATGCTTCAGCATAGGCCCAGAACACCTCAGCCTGCAAGCTGGTGTCTGCAGAAGCAGGTTGCATATTTAAGCAACATCAGAGGCACAGAAGTGCTTAAGAGATTCGCTGTGTTGTCAGACTTGATGGTAAAGTGTGGAAAAATGTGAGAACTTAAAAGGTGAAGGGTTTTTTTGTTCTTGTGGATTTGGACCTGTACTCCAATTGAAGTAATCCACCTATTTTTCTGTTTAAATAGTACGTTATTCTAACCTATGCTTCATATTTCGGATCAACTTTTTCCTTAATTCTTTTGCAGAGGAAATGCATTCACAATTCCTCATGTCATAAATATTCAGATATAGTGATCAAAGCATGATCTTTTTCAGAACTGAACCACAACTGATAAAACTACGAAAAGAATATGATGAGGTGGAGGAGAGGAAATCTTCCTTGAGGCAAGTAGTTCAATTCCTTGCTGATTTAAAGGAACTACAGCACGACTACTTGAATTACAGAGAAGAAAACCCAAGAAAGAAAGTGGCAGTGAGTACATATTTCTGCGTGTTTTCGAACTGTTCTGGATCAGCCTCCCTTCTGGAGGCTTTTTCTTCTGGACAGACATGCATTTCTACTTACATTTGACTTACATTACATAGCAGTATTCTGATAAAAACACTTCTGTGGAACCAACTTGCGAGTCATTGCTGTATCAGCATCTCGCTCTTTTCTTCTCTCGTGTTTAGAAACTGACATATTTGAGAGAAAATTGATCCCCCCATTTCTATGTCCAAAAATTAAAGAGCACGTAAACATAACTGTTATCCTCAGGTCTAGCATTTTTTTAATAGAAACTATAGGAATATTAAGAGTGAGAAGTAGGTAACCAATTTTTGCTCGTTCAATGTTAGGGAAGGCTCTGGTACTGACATACATGTTCTATAATGTGGTTAATGGTTGGTAAAAACAGCACTTGTCTTTTGTGACCAGATTAGCTTCTCATTAGTCTTAGATCTCTGTCCCCTCTTACTGTGGCTGTCCTCGTGACCCGGTGTGCTAATCTGTGGACAGTGCTAGGTGCCTGCTGTATATAGAAGAGCAGGAAACCTGCTCTTTTAGAAGACTGTCTAGCTCGGCTATTCTTTGCTTTTAGAAGTTATATTGCACTATTTCAGATAGAGGAAAAATAAATACAGATAGGTATGTGACTTTTAATTCTTGGGGAGAAAAAAAACACCAAACATTGCCCTGTAACTTCTTCCTTCACAACAGTACGGAACTTCCAGCTTACCTGCTCTTCTGGTGGAGTCACAGAGAATTCTACAAGCAGAAAGACACTTTCAGAATATTAATAGGAAACTGGAATATGCCCTGGAGGTACAGAGAGGGAAGTTATCTAAGGAACATTAAGCTCTTTTAATAGGCTTTTTGACAATAATTGATCATTATTGTAATGGACTGTGCTTTGCTTGGCGAATTGTTGTTGGTCTTTGGTGTTTAAAAGAAGTCAGCGACTTCATCAGATAGTATCTTTGTATGGTAGAATAGCTTGCCTAAGAACTTAATTCAGAATGAAATAACAATTCCAGTTAATACAGTAAAACTTCCTGTACTCTGTCAACAACACTTGTTTTTTTTAATCCTTGGTTATTTAAGTGATGTGATCTTAAATAATATGTACCTTAAAGAGGGAATGCACTGACGTTGGATGAACCAGTGACAGACAAATCTCTTTATTAAATCTGTATCAGAAAAAAGTAGTTTTCTTCCATGTCTGGAAGTGAAGAAATTTACTATTTGGCTTATTGGTAGAAGTTGAACAAACAGCTAAGAAAACAGAAATTGTAAGGCAGTAAGCCTTCAAAGTGCTAAATGTCTTGAAGCAGCCTTCATGAGGAGTTTCCAGCCCAGTCTTCTTCAGCCCCTGTGATCTCTTTACACCCATTTAATGTGTTCTCAGGGTTGCTTGTTTTTAGCAGTTACTAGCTTTATTGTCTAACAGCTCTAGAAAAGTGCTTTTGAACTACGTCACAGTATCTTTCACTGAAGGCATGTGATACCCACGCTGTATTAAAGCAAGCTTTGTTGCTACTAGTCTGTTTGCTAGCTAAGTCCATGGTTAGCTGTCTTCTTTGTTACAAGTGTCTTGTTTCCATGACAATTCCAAAAGAACTTCATCAGGAATTTCTTCTGTGTTGTAACCCAGACTATCATCTGCTGCTTCTGCTAGCTCCACATCTTCAGCGCTTTCTACCAAATAGGCATCATCACTTGCACTGTCCCACTGAGTGTCTTGAGATGTGTTGTCTTCTCGAGAGGCTGGGCTATCTGACAGATCTGCTGGGTTGGAATGTGATGTTACTTTTTCTTCTGTGTTCTCATGTTCATCTGTTACCTTATGATCTTCCTCCTTTTAGAAACAAGAACGTTCTTTATTCCATATTTCTAACTGAACTCTTGCAACTGTTACATATAATGAATGCTACAGAAAGCTGACCAACAAGTTTCCAAGGAGTTAATTTATAGCCACACTACCCCATGGAAGCCTGTTTTAATACCAATAGGAATGCGTTAGTTTTCAGCAAACTAAAAATAGTGTATTGTATATAGGTTTTTTGCTAAAGAAGGCTTAGCTTTTAGCATGTTGATAAGACAAAACACATACCTCTATGAAAAGGGAAGACAAACATATCCTAGGTGGCAATGGAAGACCTAAAATCAAAGATAAGGTGTTTAATTAAAATTAAGATTCCAAAGAGTGTTAAATACAATGGCTTGGCAAACAAAATACATACTTTGTGATTTGAAGTTTTTTTCCCTGCAGACCGGATCGTGGCACTTCTGATACCAAACTTCCTTTTTTAGATCTACCAGAATCCTACAAATGAAATAATAATTTTGGTTTTTACTAACATTATGTAAAGGAAATAAATATACACGGCTTTGAAACTCTGACACTGAAGGAACACGTTTTGTTTGTCCACAAACTACTGATAATGATTTCACACTGACATGTGGCTCTTACATCACAAAGTAAATTTAAGAGGAGAATTGTATCCTGACAGAGTAAGAGGGCAGAAATTTTAACAGGTGATGAGAATTTAAATATTTTCATAGAATTGCAGCTGAGCAGAAAAATATGTAATAGATCTGATCTGAAGTGAAAACTGAATAGTTAAAGATCATACATGATGTTGTTACTTCTGTGGGCTCTTCCAATATTTTCACACCAACGGTAACCAGAAATATCATAAACGAGTATTTCTTCCCCTGAGAAATAATTCCATTGCCTTATCCCTGAAAAAGAAAATTACTTTTTTAAAAATAGTGCTGCTGAATATTCATCTGGAAATAATGGCACAGTCGTTACCTCCTTGCACCCCGTCTTTATTAATCAAAGAACGAACAAAACAATCAATCTCTGGATATGGTGAATCCTGATAGCCTTCCATGGACTCTGTTTAAAAAAAAAAAAGCCACATGCATAATGCTTCTGTAATTATAACATAGTGGTAATGTACTGTTACATGCTAGATAGATCATAGGCACAAATCCCACCCCTTCCTTTCATAAAAGCAGGGGTAAATCCAGTGATCATTTCCTGTAGAGCTTTCTTCTGATTTTAGTGAGGCATTCTGGTGCAAAAGGGTTGGAGAAAAGAGCCCTCTCAACTCGTGCTCTCACTGTGCTATTCTGGGTATCCAGCACTGCAACCACACGTGCAGTGGCAGCAAGCTGGTGCTTGGCATGGAATGGCAAGTAGAGACCTCTCCCCAACCACCATCAGCAAGAGATGGAGAACTGGAGCAGATCATGCCTGCTTGGGGACGAAGAGGGAAGGTAAGTGGCATCCAAGCACTGCAGAGTGCTGGAGGTGGTACAGATCATCCCTACTCTGCCTTCTGCAGAAATCTAGCTGAGGAAGAGCTCTCATACAAGCTATCAGGTGTGTAAGTCACAGCACATCTAACTTACATGTATATTTGTTTTTGTGCCCCTTCTCTATAGTGCAGAAAAGGCTTGCAGTACCTCTGGTGCTTCTGGTGGTTTTACTTCTTAAAAAAGCAGACATCTTTATTTCCTCTTCTGGAAAGCTAGATAGAATTCTTGTGTCATCTTTGGATCTGAATGAAAGAGAGAACGCAAAGGAAAATGTATGATTCTTGCAGCATAGCACACTATGATATAACACAGCACAGCATAAGAGAACAGCCCAGGGCAACCAGCTCTGGGTACCCTGCCTGAGCGGAGGGGTTGGCCCACAAGGCCTCCAGAGGCCCCTTCCATTCTTTTACCCCCCTATAATGCCTCTTACTGTCCCTGCAGCACTTTTGGACGCTTGCCTCTGATTGCTCAGCAGAGGGCAGGGTTTACTCCTTCAAAAAAGCCAAACTTGCCTGGCAGAAATCCCAGGAGCCAGCCATTTAGAGACTAATGGTACACATTCACAGAAATATTTGCTCTAGGTGTAATATTTGAGCATTTCGAAAAGTTTCAGCTTTATTTTTCTTTCCATTCTGTCTGCACTGAACTGCCCTTCCATATTGTTAATTATGAGCCAGCTGATTACAGAAGGCCAAATTCAATGCAGAAGAACTTCTCACCCATATTTATGACATTCAGCTGATTCTGTGATATAAATACAATATATGGTTTGTGCTATTGGGCTACTGGCATCAGTTCAGGAAAATGAACACTTAAGAAAATGGAAGCAACAAAAAACTTGTTTTCATGAAATTATTCACAGAGATACCATTTAGCCCTCTTTCAGTAACAGTATTTTACTGGGATCATCTTAAGCTACAAGTCACTGTAGGGCAAAACATACCTGAGGGTCAGGTTAGAAAGAAACAGTTTAGATTATTATGTGAGGTAGCAACCAATCTAAGGAAGTCTCTGTAACAAAGGGGAAATCTGGTGTGCAAGTAAACATGTACAAAAATCTTTTAATTTGTTAACATACTTTGGACACTTGAATGTAGGTTAAAAATGGAAACTGAGTCCCAAGATTTTTTTCTTCAAAGGCAGGGAATTCCAGGAAAAACAGCAGTGTAACAGTGTTCATGGATTACCTGCTTGTTCATAGCACTTGCTCATAAGTGCTGCAGGAGAAAAATCACTGAAATTGTATTTTAAAATATTTAAAATTCCACTGGAATTAAACCATTACCTAACGTTGCAGACCAAAGAGGAAAGAAAATATGCTTCCTCCAAAGAAATGTTCTCTTCGCAGTTAGGGACAAACTTGTTATCTTCTGCTATTGTCAGAATCACATTTTTTCCTGCTTTTGATGACTTATACATCCGGAAATTTCTGTTCCTTGTGTAAACTCCTACAGGAAAACAAGTACTTCATAAAATAACAGTGCTTGCTAGGATTTACTGTATATTTGTAAATAGAACAATTTTTCTGAGACCTAACTGAGGGTTTAAGGAATGGTTGAAAACTGAGTGGTTTCAGCTCACTTCTCACAGCAGAAACGTGGCCAATTAAGATTATGCAAACATAAATTCTTAAATCGTATGTAAGACACTCAGCATTTTCACACCAGCATCATTCTGACGTTATCATTGCGGAAGGTTTCTCTTCAAAATAAAACATGATTTCACAATAATTTTGTGAAATACCACTGAGAATACAAAGCTACAGTTATTTTAATCAGATGACGTCACACTTAGCAGACTTCCTGTGTTCTGCAGACACGACTTGTCTGAAGTGCGTATCAAGAAAATGGAATTCCAATCTCAAAACCAAACACAATTAAAAAGGTAAACATCACCTAATCTGTCTCAAGCTTTATCAGAGAGGTGGGGGCTTTAGTTGTGGATTGCATTTAATTTGCATGAAGGAAAAGGAACTAAAAACTCTGCAATGTCACATGCCTTTCTATCGTTGCAGCCTTGTGCTGTAACTCAGTACTCCAGGTAGTCTGGTTTAGCTTTCCAGTTTTGTGGTAAGATGGTGGCATAAATGTTAAAGATAGTTGATTTTGAGGACTAACATCAAATCCTTAAAAGGTGGATTGACAGACTGAACAGTCTGCTTTCCTTTAGTTTCCATTCTCTAACTAGTATCTCGAAGGAATTTTAGTTAGTAGATGTATAAAGTGATCCTGAATCAGTAATAAAGAAGCATAACAAAATACCAATTTTGGGATTATATTTCAACAGATCAGATGTACTCAAGATGTACTAAAGGCTAGCAATAGAAATGATCCTGTGTATTCCATTAGAAGAATTTGAAGTCAGAGGGGTTCTTCAGTGAAGTCTAAGAAAAAACACGATAATTCTTCAGACACATAAATCACTGCACAAAAGTGTGCAAAGCTATTTTCATTTCACTCAGGGTAAACACTCCAGATTATAAGGGTGGAGGCAATTTCCAACTTCAGTTTGACTATGGGTGTTGTGCTCCTAAAGATTATTAACATTTTAACGCCATGTATAGGCAAAGAACAGGTGGGGCATGAAGTGTCCAACCCTAATTTCTATTATTCTGTCATCAAAATCTAATAGCTGTCATTCCAAACAGAGGAAGACACCTCAATTCATATGTGTATAACAAAACAAAAGACCACACCCTTAATGCTTGCTCTATAATTAGGCAGTTTCTAATTCAACTGAAACGATAACAATATGTCCCCTTTCAATCAAATAGGAGCAGTAAGTCCTTTGGAAGAAAATCCATTAGAGCCACGTAGCGAGTATTTCTTCAAACTGTTGAACAAAGTAGTTCAATATAGTAAATATAAAAAGTTCCAAAGCCAAGAATCTGTGATTCCTTTGGAGCTTATGATTGTTGTTTGAGCATGGATAGTATTTGGTTTAAATTCTGAACGTTAAGAAAAAAACAAGAACAACCTTAACAATTCTGTTATCAAAGATTAAAGGTCTGATTGCTTAACTGTTGCTGCATCCTAAGCAGGTTTAAAAGCACTTCTTATACGTACCTAGATCCACAAAAAGTTGCTTGTCTCCTTCTTTGTTATTTACTATTAGAAAAGAAAATTCAGAGTTTTCTCCATGGTATGATGTTTCTGTTTCTTTTCTTTGGTCAGCAATGGCTGGCCAGCCTTTGGAGGCATCTGTGACTGCGGTGAAGTTTGTAAGAGAACCATCTAACTCAGCTGTTGGTGCAGAACACTGGAAAATATATCCTGTTCCCCCTTCTGCAATGGGAGCAGTGACGTTACTCTCCATTAACGTTATGGCAGGCTGCAAAATGGTTTTCACGAAGTTACCTTATAAACAAAACAAAACACAACTGTATGAGTCAAGAAAATCTTTATCACTCTTGTGCAAACATTTTCAGAACAGCCAAGATGGAAGTGGGTGCAGCTGTTTGGTTTTTTTTTATCTGCTGGATTTTGCAAGTCGTGGCTAGTGAATAAGGAACCAATGCTTGGCAAAAACTTATACCAATTTTTTTTTTTTTTTAAACACGAGAAAATAAGCAGTTTTGTGTGTGCATTAAATGTGTCATATGGCTGCTATCTTTCCCTTTGCAATATTACTGCAGGGAAACGAATTGCATTGGCAACCACCTCATTAGAAATAAAGAAAAATAATGAAACAAATGCATAGCCTGTCAGTGCAGTTTTCCAAGCCAAGATTCTGAACCAAATTCAGTCTCTGATAAAAGAGCAAAAATGAAACAACTGTCTTTTGTAACTTTCAAATATTTTCCCCTACCCATCACAACACCTGCACTGTTGCAGTTATTTCATGCTGCCAGTCAAGGCCGCATTTTTAAGACATCATTCTGTGCGTGACTCCTAACAAAATGCTTGAGAAATGGTATTATTGAAGATGAGGTCATTCATTTTCCAGAACAACAAACTATGATAAATTTAACAACATCTGAACAGGTCTTAAAAATATATTAGCTCTTTTAAGTTAAACATTAGACCGGAATCTTCCTGTCATGTTAAAGAATACGTATTTTTTAA